TTTTCATCATACTTAAAAAAAAAAAAATCCTCCCAGAGAACAAAAAGCTAAAAAGGTGAAGGTTAGGGATGTGGAAATAAGCATAGGACACAATAGGAGAAGTGTTACTTTTCACTGAGAGCCCCACAGTGTTTTCCTTGTATTTTATTGGCTATAAGTACTTTGAATGACTGAGAAAAGAAACTATGTGCTGAGGTATTAGTTTGATGTATAAATTGATGCTTTTTACAGAGTATTTCAAGTTTGGGAAAACCTAGCCATAATTTGTTATTTCTAAATTACCACACATACCTGGTATCCTGTTTTAAAATTACCTAAAGTGTAGAGACTTTTAGATCTTTTGATAAATATATCACCATATTCATGATTCAGAAATTTCTTTTATCGCTGTTTATTAATTTTTTCCCTTCTTTTTTCCTTGCTGTATATGAATATCACTTAAAAAAAATCTAAGATCGAGACTTGGGACTATTTTCCCAAAGCCTTTCCTTTCAGTATCCCTGTTTTCATCTTGACCATTTCTGGCACAAGCTCCTAACTTATCTGGGAGAACCCTGGGTTTCAGTAAACACTTCTCTTCATAGAGAGCCCACTCTGTGCCAGCCCCCATGTTAAGTAATTTATATGAATTATCTCTTCAGAACAGCACTGAAGATGAAATCATCACTGCCACCCTTTCACTTTAGAGATGAAGGAACTGCAGCTTCCTAGAGCCAGGCTTCTGTTGCTGCAGCACCTTAATAATTGCCCTGGGAATGGAAAGTCTGCCCTCAGTGCCAGGCGGCCTGCTGCGGATTCTTCAGCCAGCTCCAGTGCCATTTCTCTTCAAATTTTCTTGACCTTTCCTGAGAAGAATTAATTTTTAACAATTAATGTTCCCATTGCTCTTTATAGTTATATCTGCTTTTAGCATGTACAAAAAATTAGCATAGTTTTAAGATGTGTAATAGAAAGACAATGGACTTCAGTGTGAGACAGAATTTGAATTCTAATTTTGCCTGTTACTTGCTGAGTGACCTCTGGCAAAGTATTTTACCCTCTGCTTTAGTTTCTCATTAAGATACACAAATGACTCCTCACATTAACATTATAGTCCTAAAAGTAAATAACTTACGTAAAGATCCCACCACACTTTTTGGCATATCTGTTAAGTGCTGATAAATTATAGTTAAAAACACAAGGGAATACTTTATTGAGCAGTTTTTGAAAATATATTTAGGCTAAGTCCAAAGGCTGCAGAGATAACAGGACAGCTCTGCCTGTTGGAGCACATAGTCTAATATGAGTTGAGAAACCAGCAGTCAATATAGTGAGACAGCTGCAGCATCACAACTACATGCAGTGAAGGGGCAGCTGTCATCTTGGTGAAGTAGGGGAGGTTGCTTTTCTTGCTAGACTGGACTTGCTGATGTAATTCTTAATGAGATAATAGTGAGCAGATCCCCATTTGAGGGCTATTTAAAATCTTAGGTAGGAGGGTGTGTATGTGTTTATAAGTATACAGTTGATCCTTGAACAGTGTGAGGGTTAGGGGTGTCAACATTCCCCTGCACAATTAAAAATTTTGCATATAGCAATTTTGACTCCCCAAATTCTTATCTACTAGTAGCCTACTGTTGACCATAAGCCTTGCTGATAACATAAACAGTCAATTAACACATGATATATAAGCTAGATGTATTATATACTGTATTCTTATAACAAAGTAAGCTAGAGAAAAGAAAATGTTATTAAGAAAATCATAAGAAAGATAAAATACATTTGTAGTATTTACTGAAAAAAACCTGCATATAGGTGAACCTGTGTAGCCATGGTTCAAGGGCCACAGTATGTATGTACACATACACACATCTACAAACATACCATATGTGGTATTCTATTTGGAAAATATAAAACCGAAACCAGCAATTTATTGTACAAACTATAGAAAATAGAGTTTGACAAAATCTTCTTGATTGATAACAATGCACAGAAGAGGAGCATAGTGGACACTTCGGAATAATTCCTAGAACCTGAATTCTCTTCCTGATTTTGAGGGTAATTTCCCATTTTCAGAGCCTGGGTGATAAAGAAGAAAATGTCAGATACTTTCCCAGCCTCTTTTGCCATACATATCTATAACTCAGTTCTGCTAGTCATATGTGCCTATGCTGAACCTGGGCTAGTCACATGAACAAGCCGGAACTGTGGGGAATCCTCCCTGCTAGTAGCATAAGCTGCAGCTGGATGGAGCTTCCAGGGTGAGCATCCAGGGCCAGTGAGATCCATGATACAGGGTGTAGAGCTGGAGGTTTGCACTCTGCTGGACCCACCTTTTTACTTTTAGATGCTGATCTTCAGCAGCTTTTCCCAATTTAGAGTTCAGGAATATCTAGTTGGTAGTTGAAATCAGCCATGGAAATGGGAAAATACTACAAATTAGGGTTTCTTCCCTCAGCTTTCCATCCCAGAACTGTTTTACCAGCACACCATTTGATTTTGAGTGTTTTTCTTATCATATAGGCTGTAGACTTGTTCTCTAATTCTTCTCACATTTCTTAGAACTGCCCAATGTCTTAATTTCAAAACATTATGTAATTATTTGAATGTAATATCTAAAATAGACAAATATATATATTTATTTTTTGTAATCTTCACCTGAGGCCATGTTTTTATTGAGGAGGTGGGGAGAGAAAGACAGAAAGAGAGAAAGAGAGAGAGAAACCATTGTTGTGGGAGAAAAACACTGATTGCTTGCCTCTTGTACGTGCCCTGACTGGGAATCAAATCCACCACCTTTTGGTGTAGAGGACAATGCTTCAGTCAGATGAACCACACTGGCCAGGGCCAAACCTATAGTATGCTTTGAAGTGTAGTGAAGTGAGTACCTGTGAGACCTCATCCTATGTGAGAGCTAGAACATATACCTTTTTTGCCTATTTATGTGTTCTAACTCTTCGTTTTGCCATACTAAGAAATGATTGTTGTGAATTTGGATTTTAGCTTTCCTTGACTTTCAAACTAACACACCCTAGCATTCCCCAGCATTTTGTTCTCATGGTCAACTAGAGGTAGGAGATCAGCAAAAACAGTCTGCTTTCTATCCTGTATATGAGTCATTGGCATTATCTTCAATTTGTGTTTCTTTGATAGGATCTTTTAAAGACACTTGTACATTTTGTAAGCATTAATGGCTAAAACTAGGTAAAATAATCTATATATCCACTTAGTTGTGAACAAATAAAAGGCAGTTTATCACAATCAAGCAAACCAATGAAGGTGCTTTGTCAACTCCCAAAATTCCATAAAGATGCCTTGTGAGTTGTATGTCACATGGACTGAGTGATACACCTTGTAGCTCTGGCTATGAAATATTAGGGAAGTTTAATTTTTTTTCAATGGATGTGTCCTCCCTGGGTTGCATAGGTTGCAGTTGGGAGTTCATAGGTGTAGAACATCACAGATTGCCTAATAGAACTTTTTGCAGTGGTTTAGACAGTCTGTGTTTGCATTGTCAGGTATATAACACCTGAAATGTGGCTAGTGAGACTGAAGAATTGAACTTTTCATTTTATTTTAATTAAATAGACTTGTGCTTGGTGAACTGTATTAGATAGCAGATTAGATATTTGTGAGTGTCTAGGCTAAAAATATTGGGAGTAGTAAAATAAAGAGAATGTCTTTATTTTAATGACATTAACAAGAACAAAAGGAAGTTTTGTTTCAACGTGGAATTTTTGTTAATGACTAAAATTTAGATGACATTTTAGCCTCTTTTTTCTAACTGTTTTTAGCTGGGCCTTTGCAGGCCTATTACTGGTAAATATGGAATAGAAAATTGTCAACTGGGGATATGCTTACTTGAGAAATTAACTGTAAAATGTCAATCATTTCACATTTCTCTTTGCTGAAAATATAAACTAAACTAACATACATAGAAAGGTTTTACTTAAAAGACTATAACAAGAAGCCTTTTTTTCCTTGCTGGTATTTTACTTAAAGGTATAGTATTTAATAATAAAAGCATAATGTGCTAATTAGACCGAACATCCTTCCGGAAGACATTTCAGATGACCTTCCGGACAAAGCTGGGGCTGCAAGGGAAGCCCGGGCCAGGTGCCTGCCAGTGGCCGGAGGGAAGCCTGGGTTCGGGGTGCCAGGGGGAAACTGGTGCTGGCAGCTGGGGGAAGACAGGCCTACTCTTACACGAATTTCATGCATCGGGCCTCTAGTATTTAATAATGTGAAAAGTATCACTTTATGTTAAATTTATTTTTTAGACATGCACGCAGAATTTGCTGTGATTTTCAATCATGCTTTTATTGTTTCATTATATGAAATGTTTAACGTAATATCTAGTCCATGAGTTAGATTTTTGTCTTTGATTGGAATGTGGAAAGAGAGAACAATTTCCCTCCACTGACAATGCCTGTAATATAGCATTAGATTTAATCTTATTTAAAAAGGAAATGTGAAAATAAGTTAAAATACTTATATTAAATAAGTTAAACTTTAAATAGTTAAAATTTTAGAGTATTGTGTTCTTCGTTTATGCCATAGAGGGTGTACTTTGAATTTGATGTTTTTGAACAGAAAACATTCCTTTTAACTACTACTGTAAAGTTATTTCTTTAAAAATTACATTCTTTAATTCCAGAATGTCCCTTAATGTGCAGGGGAGGAGAAGGCAAATCTATGTGAATGAATTAGAGCACATAAGACTAAAAACATTTATTAATACAACTTTGACCCAGAAATATAATTTTGTTTTCCTAAAATTTTCTTGTTATTTTCTGAAAATGAATCCAAAATAATTTTTAAAATGTTTTTCAGGAGACCCTTTATCTTAAAATATAAAAAATACACACCCTGATCTATGTAATATAATTTAAGTTTTGATCTTATTTAATTGAAGTGATCATTATTATCATAAAGCCTAATCATTAAGGAAAAGAGATACACGATTAATGAAAACAAAGCTGTGGCTAGACTGTGATATTTATTTCTTTGTGTTTTGACAGCTTGAAGGTCCATGTGTTTTGCAAATTCAGAAAATTCGCAATGTTGCTGCGCCAAAGGATAACGAGGAGTCTCAGGCAGCTCCGAGAATGTTGCGACTGCAGATGACTGATGGTCATACAAGTTGCACAGCAGTAGAATACAGTTATATGTCAAAAATAAGGTGATTGGCACTTTATTTTATATATTTGTTACAGTGTTTGAAGGTGCTTTTCAAATGGATTTTGTTTTAAGAACTTTGAGAAGAGGAATGAATTCTTTAGTGCATGTTAGAATTTTTAAGAAGAAATTGAAGTTTATATTTCTAATTTATCTGTATAGAAAAATAGGTAAGAATGGAGTTAGTTACTCTTTTCTTCATTATTAATTATGAAAACAGAAATTAAAGGTGTTTTTGCATGAAAAGTAATCTTTTCAATTAGGTCAGTAAATTTGAGGTCATTCTAATTTCTTTAACTACATTATAATTCTTTCTGGACAGTTAGCTGTGTTCATTATACTATTTTGTGTTCATAGGGAAGTTCATAGCAAATGAGTTTTCTAAGGAAATAATTGCCATGAGGGAGGTTCATAGCCACCATACTTTCTAAGAGAAGTGGGAACTCCATAAGGCAGAAGTTTCCAAATCATTCTTTTGATATTTTCATGAGAGGTTTCATAATCACGCCTATTAGCATGGAGAAAAGCAATAAGGGAGGGGATGTCCTTTATCCTCAGTGCCCCATTAGATCAGTTTGAGCTCTATTTTCTGAAATGGAAATTTTCATTAGGCATTTGTTAAACTATCTTTTTTGTTATTTTATATGCTTATGTTTGCTGCTCTGAGCTTTTCATTTCATACTTCTCTCTTAAGTAAGCATTTAATAAACACTTAGCATCCGTTGTGTTCCAGCTCCTTTATCTGGTGTGGAGGTGTTATTGTCACCAGAAAAGGTACTATCCAGTGGAGAGAGAGGGCTATCCTCTCCTTGGTGCTTGTCAGTCTTGTAGAAAGACTTCAAACAAGTGACACTGGACAGTTGTGTTGTAATAAAGTGAATTTGTCAAAGAAGCATGGCAAGCAAATTTATCAAAATATATCTGGCTTATGAAGCACAGACAAACTTCTCAGCCTGGTGGAGGTTCAAGGGGTTTTATACCCTGTCTACAGGTTTCAAGGGTCCTCTTCCAGATGTCGTCAGCACGGAGCAGACTTCAGGGTCCCCCTTTTACACTGTTGTGGCCTTTCCCAGAATTTATGAAAACATCTGGCAAGTCCCAAGATGGCTGACTTTTTTGTTCAGTGAGTGAGATAAAATTCCCTTTTTTTCCTCCCCCAAGACAGCTGACTTCTTTGTTTAGTGGGTGAGATAAAACTCTTCCTTCTTAACTTCTTCTCCTATCCTGTCTTAGCAATACCAGGGTGATTTTAGCTTTGTATTCTCTGGATAGAGAGGAAAGGTATTAACCATTTGTTCTCACATGTCCTGAGTTGGGGAAGATTAAGAGCTTGCTGCAAGCTGGCTGTAAGCTGTCCAGACATTTGGACATCTCTATAGGGCCCCAGGAGTCGGAGCTGACTGAATGGCATGTAACACAAAACGTTTTGCTCTGCGTGCAGACTCTGAAGCTTTAAAACAGGAATATTCTGTTTCTTCTTTTTAGCAACTCTTTTAAGAACTTTTTTTTTTTTTTTCCAGAATAGACCAGTGCTTTCATTGATTTGCTTTTGTATGTATCAGCCTATAGTGAATGCCTTGAGCTTTTAAAATGTGAACAATGTGAAATGATTTTGGCATGATTTTCTAATCCATTCTTAGTGTTTTAGGACCATCTTTACTCCTATTTAGAGTGCTTTGCCCTTGCTAAATGGGCAAAGAGACGAGGGAGGGTTCAATGTATGTGCTTTAACTTTAGAGTAAACCTATGTGATGAAGTGGATTTCTTCCATTGTCTCTTCTACCAAAAGTTTAATAGAAGGATAAACACCTTGTCTCTGGTCTTTGTAAAGGGGGTTATAGTGTAATGTTTCCCTGCATACAGATAATATTAGTCCATTATAGAAAAGTTCTTTTAGGTTAGTACACTTTAGAATAAATAACTCTCATTTGATCTTTAATTACATGGTTAACAAAAAAGAATATTATTTTTGTGAATTATGGTAGCTCATCCTATCTAGTAATCCTATCAAATAAAAGGGTAATATGCAAATTAACTGTCATTCCATCACAAAGCTGGCAGTGCCCATAGCCACAAGATGGTGGTACCCAGAACTCTCAGCCCTGCCAGAGTCCCCCAGTCCCAGGAGGGCAGCTGCTGAGAGTGGGCAGCATGAGTGGCCTGGCAGAGTGCTTGCTTCGTTGCTGCAGTGACGTGACAAGCGTTCTGTGCCCAGCCATGGTGCAGAACGCTTGCATCATGGAGAGCCTCTAGGCAGCAGGCACAGAGCAAGCAGGCCCGGCAGAGAGCTACTGGTGCATGGATTCGTGCACAGGGCTACTAGAGTGTTAGAGTGTGTGTGTGTGTGTGTGTGTGTGTGTGTGTGTGTGTGTGTATAATTTTTAGGACTATTACTGTCAGATATATTTTCCTTTGATAAAATTTAAATTTGTAATATAGTATATCATATCAGTGCACAGCCAAAGCTCAGGGAAAAATGATAAATCATATTTGTATAGCATAGCATTATTGAGAAAGCTTATTCATATATTTCTATTTATCTATTTGTGAGGTGTTATGTATATGTATATATATACATATACACATATGTATATGTATATATATACATATACATATGTGTGTGTGTGTGTGTGTGTGTGTGTGTATATATTTTTTTTTTCTTTTATTTTTTTCTTTTACTCCTGGAAAGAGTTTTTGTGTTAGTTCATTTTGAAGAACTTGACCAGCTCATAATATGCGATTCAATCAGTTTTGAGGAGGAGCTTCAGCATGTTTTAACTTCCTTTTTTCTTTGCTTTAGCCTGAACACACCACCTGGAACTAAAGTTAAGCTCTCAGGCATCGTGGATATAAAAAATGGATTCCTGCTCCTGAATGACTCCAACACCACAATCCTTGGGGGGGAAGTGGAACACCTTATTGAGAAGTGGGAGTTACAGAGAGTAAGTGTAACTGAGAATAAAGGCTTCAACTTCTAAAACACTACACTCTTCTTATTGCAGTTTGTATTTTAAGGAGACCTTCCCATAGTGAATAATGTCAGAGTTGAATAGAATGGAATAGAGTTTATAGAAACTATCTACCTTTGTTTAAGCACATTGTTCCTCTAAAGCAGTGGTTCTCAACCTTTTTAATGTCGTGACCCTTTAATACAGTTCCTCATGTTGTGGTGACTCCCAGTCATAAAATTACTTTAGTAGTTACTTCATAACTGTAATTTTGCTACTGTTAATGAATCGTAATGTAAATATCTGTGTTTTCTGACGGTCTTATATGACCCTGCTAGCAGTTCTCAAGCTGTCGGTCGTGACCCACAGGTTGAGAACCAATGATGTAGAGCCTAAGACCATTGGTGCATATATATGAAAGTATACTGCATATTTGTTTCATCTACGTACATACATACATACTAGTGAATGCAAATTAGAATTTCACTATAATAAAGGGGTTCTTGTGACTAAGTTCTCTCTAGTTACTTTAGATGATGTTTCCCCAATTTATGTTAACAATAGCTTCATCCTCGTGGTCATTTAGGTTATCTAGTAAATGTTCCTCTACTTTCCAATTCTGTTGATCCACTGTAGTCAGATCTTATATCAGTCTCTTGTTCCCGAATTGCAATGCTGTTACTCTAGTTTAAGTCTTTAGTATCTCTTTTGTGGACTGCTGCAGTGGCCTTTTAACTAATCTATATACATATTCTTTCTCTGTCTTTTAATTTACTTTATTTACTTCTGCCAGATTATCTTCCTTCAGCATAACTCAGAATATATCACAACCTGCTTTTATTTCAGATGCCTTAGTTTGGTGTTCAATGCTGTTAATAATCTAGCCCTAGTTCAAGTTTATCTTTTCATCTCTAAATTATTTCATATTTCACATAGATTTTGATCTACCCAAATGGAACTGCTTACTTTTTTTTTTTTTTTTTTTTAACTCATTCTACTTTTGTTTTATTGCTAAATACTTCAGGTAGACATGGACTACTTTAGCCTTACTTACCACCAGGTCCCTGGACTGATGATGTTGATTTGCATTCAAGGTCTCCAACCAGGTCACCAATTGCACTGTAGGGAGCTGTTAGTCTGAAGGTTCAGACTGAATTGGGAGGGGAGCAAAAAAGGAACATGTTACAATGCTGAGGACAACGGTGAAGCTCAGGCTGATGCTGGACCCCATGCTATGCTGGCCTATGGTTTGGGCAACCCCCTCAGGTTCACTCAGTGCCCAGTTCCTCTCCAACTGGGCACATGGAGTACAAAAATTAGTTTCTTTCTAGGCTTGTACTTGATTCCAAAAGAGTGAAACTACTTACTCTTTCATTGGCTCTCTATGCTTTTCTCAATTATACTTTTGGGGGGTAGAAAGATTTTCCCACTTCTACACCATTCATTTTGTGTTCTTTCTCATAATGCCTGCATGGCCAAATTGTCCTCATGCTTTTAGACTCAGATCAAATGCTTATTTCCTCAAAAGTGAAGTAGTTGCTCTTTTATTGAATTCTAGGGGTACTTTATCCATTTTAAGAAGTGTATCACTTTTTAGCACTAAAATTGTATTTATTTCTTATCTCCGTTAGGCCTCTTAAGGTCAGAATTCTCTTTTGTATCATCTGTTTTCAGTTTTATAAATATTTATTGAACAGTATGTAGGTATTGTGCTGAGCTCTTGCATCCTCCTAACAGTCTTATGGGAGAGTTTTATGTTTATATAGATCAGAAAATGGACTCTTAAGAACTGTTAACTAACTTATTTTATAATTAGACACTTGATAGGTGATGGGTCACATCATAGCAAATAATTGTGAAATGAATGAATTACAAAGCACAAAAGCTAATTACTCTCTGAGCTAAAATTAATGTTCTTGTGTTACTCTAAGTTCTTGCCTAAAGTGGGCCTTGGGGCCTAACAATATTTCAAATTCCTGGTATTTTATGATATATTTCTTTTTTCTACTTTCTTAGTTTAAAAGTGCTTCTGTTGGGAGGTAAGTAGATAAGGAGAATTCAGCACATATTTTATTTCTTAATACTCATTCCTTATGATAATACTATGTTGCATTTGGGGCTGGTGTGCTGTGCATAAGATAATGTTTCATAACTTCATTATTTAATTGAAAATGTTGCCAAAGCAAATAAGTGGAGGTTTGATAGTTTTAATAAAGAGCCAAATATATGAACTTTGACTTTCCCAGCAAAACCCCACTCATTTTATGTGATCCTTTCACAAGTTGATACATTTTTATTATAATTAGAGATTTTTAAAAATGTGGTAAGATGTTCTCAAGTCAGACCAACATCTTATATAATTTTCCCGACCCAGCCTAAACTACTTTATTGACTGAAAAGTCAGTTAAACATTTTAAGAACTTCCTCATTATACACACATACATGCACAGACATGCACACACACGGAAGAACACACACACACAGAGATTAGTAATAGTTTCATAGTTGTCCTTGTAATGTTTTATTATATACATTTGCACTTTGTTTCCTGAAAACCTGTTAGTATTTCTTGTTAGGAATAGCAATAAAAGTTTACATTAAAAAGTTTAAAAACATCTTACTATAATTATAATTCTCTATCATTTTATAGTTTTTTGATTTGGTAACCATAGCAATGTAGAAACCATGGAGAGTTCAATTACTTGAACATCTGGCAACTAGTACACACAGAAACTAAATGCACACATAGAAATCATAATCCATAGAGAAAATTTTGGAATTAAAAAGGCCCTAAATTTTCTTATAAAATAAATAGGGAAAGAGAACATTGAATAATATTTAAATCATGTGCAGCTGGTGTAGTTGTAGCAAATTGATTACATACAGGTGAAGAAAAGAAGAAAGTAGTTTGTACCTTCCCAAACTGAAATTCTGTACCATTAAACATTAACTTCTCATTCTCCACCTACTCTCAATCTCTGGCAACCAAGATTTTTATTTTTCTCTTTATTGACTAGTTTAGGTACTTTACGTAAGTGGAATCATACAATATTTATCCTTTTTTGTCTGGCTTACTTCACTTACTATAATGTCTTTTAAGTTTTATTCATGTTGTAGCATGTCAGAATTTCTTAACTTTAAGGCTAAATGATATTTGTGTGTGTGTGTGTGTGTGTGTGTGTGTATCTTACTTTGTGTTCATTCATCCACTGATGACAGTAGGGCTGTTTTCACGTTTTGGATATTGTGAATAATGCTATTATTATGAACATGGGTGTATAAATACCTGTTCAAGTTTTCGCTTTCATTTCTTTTGGACATATATCCAGAAGTCGAATTGAGTGGTCATAAGTTATAATTTTGTTTTTAGTAACTACCATGTTGTTTTCCACAGTGACATTAGCACCATTTTACATCCCTATCAGTAATATACAAAGGATCCAATTTTTCTACATCCTCGCCAACTGTTGTTATTTTTTTCATATGCATGCTAGTATTGTCTATTTGTTTATCTTCTTTGGAGAAGTATCTATTTAAGTCCTTTGCTAATTTTTAAATCAGTTTTCTTTTTTGTTGCGTGATTTCTCGGTATATTCTAGATATCAGTTCCTTTTCAGATATATAATGTGCAATAATTTTTTTCACATTTCAGGAATTGCCTTTTTACTCAGTTGATAGTGTCCTTTGATGCACAAAAGTTTTTATGAAGTTCAATTTTATCTGTTTTTCTTTTCTTTTGTTACTTCTCTGTTTGGTGTCATATCCAATAAGTCATTACCAAATCCAAAGTCATAAAGCTTTCTCCCTCTGTTTTCTTCTAAAAGTTTTATGAGTTTAGTTCTCAATTTAGGTCTGATCCGTTTTGAGTTAATTTTTGTATAATAGTATAAAAACACAGGTGACATTTTCTATAATGATAATTACTAAAAAGTGTAATTAAAAAAGCTTACAGTTAAGAAGCTGTATTAAATGACAGCTGGTGCTTAACAGATATATGTTAATATCGCAAAATGAAACCGATAAGAAGAACGGGTGGCCGGAAGGAGTCCGTCCTTCTGAAGATTCCTCATGGCATTAAAAGGAATTTATAATGTGAGGATTGCCCCTGCAAGGAGCAATTTTAAATATGAGAGCTAGGAAAAAAAGAAAGCAAAATTACTAGAGTTTGGAAGCTTATTTTTATTAAATAATATTCAATTATTTAAAATATTCATCAAAATATAAATTGATTTTTAAAACAAGTCTTTTTTGTTTGTCTTTTTCTTTGTCTTTTGTTTTTTTAAATAATCAAATCTTCAATTTGTTCCATATATCTGGCACAAGAAGGTATTCCAATGAAACCAAGTCTTTATTAAGGATATTTTGTAATTGAAAGTAATCAGCATATTATGAAATGTAACAATTTTATCTCTTTAAATAAATGGAAACCTCTGTTATCAGTATTCCCATAAACTGTTTCTAGTTACAACACTTTAGAATTCTGTTACAAGAATTGGGGACAAAGACCAAATATATATTTCTTATTATATTGCAATATGACAAGTATGTTGTTTGGTAATAGATTTTATGTCTAAAAACTTCATTTGAAGGGTAATTTCCAGAGAATATTTGCCTATCAGATTATAGTTTTAACTAGAGGTCTAGTACACAAAATTTGTGCACGGGTGGGGTCCCTAGGCCTGGCTGTGATCAAGGCTAGTCAGGTTCCCTGCCACCCCCTGCCTCCTTCCCTTGCCACCTGTGTCTGTAGCCACTCACTCCCAGTTCCCTGTTCCAGCCTGGAAGCCGGCCTTGACTGGGCGGCAGGTCAGTCAGGGCCTGCTGGCTTCGGGGAGGGACCGGAGGGTGGCTAGCAGTCCCCATCAGCAATCGGGGCCTGTGTTGATTGGTAGATGGAGCCTCAAGGCAGCTCCTGCATTGAGCTCCTGTGTTGGTCATTCCACCTTAACCATCGCTTAGACTTTCATATATATATATATATATATATATATATATATATATATATATATATATATATATAAAATGCTTTAAAGTAAAATTTTTACCAAAGTCTATTATCTTTGCATTTGCTACTTGTTGAGGAGAGTTTTTATTGTATTTTGTTTTTGTAGGAGTAGCTTGGTAAATACTTTTGAAAACTGTAATGAATGTGTGTGTGTTTGTTTTTTTATAGAAGTATTTTTTAATTTAACATATATATATATATATATATATATATATATATATATATATGAATATTGATTTCAGAGAGGAAAGGAGAGGGAGAGAGAGATAGAAACTTCAATGATGAGAGAGAATCATTGATTGGCTGCCTCCTGCAAACCCCCCACTGGGGATTGAGCCCAAAATTGGACATGTGCCCTTGACCTGAATTGAACCCACGATCCTTCAGTGGATGCTCTATCCACTGAGCCAAACCAGCTAGAGCATTAAGTGTGTGTTTGGTATGGGGAGATAAGGAGAGGGCATTTACCTAATTATTGCAGTTAGGAATAAAATATTTTATATAGTCTGAAATATTTTATAGAAAGCTTTTTTTTTCCCCCCCTGTGTGTGTGGTTTTTGAAAAATAGGAATGTATTAAATTAAGTAGAGTCCTGGTGCACTGTAAATGTTCGAAATATATTTTTTTATGTATAATTTCTATTTTGTGACTCACTTTTCTCACAGAGCTTGTCAAAACACAATAGAAGCAATATTGGAACTGAAGGTGGACCACCTCCTTTTGTGCCTTTTGGACAGGTAATGACTTTTATGTGGCAGATGAATTTTAATCAGCAAAAAGTATTTTTCATCTGTATTCAAGCTGTGTTTAGTTTTGTGCTGAACTATTCATTCAGAGGTCATGGTGTCATATGGAAATATATTCAGTAAAGGAATTTAATAATTGTGTCTTTTTATTCACTATAATTAAATTGATTTTCTCAAGAACTGTTAATGTAAAGACTGAAAAAATTACAAAGTACACCTGAACAGCAACTAATAACTAAGATAAGATGGGGGTAGAGCATTTTTTTTTTGAGAGAAATGCAAAAGAAGAAAAATATGCTATCATTTATCATTTTTTTTTTCATTAAAAACAAAAGAGGGAGAGAGAAAATAAAAGTGTCAATAGAAGGATGAAACAGAAAAGTGAGGACCCTGGAGGCAGGAAGGGGCATCACTGCACTGTAGCAGAGCCTTCTATCCCAGGCCTTCTTGTAAAGATTCTATTCATCTGCTTTGATTCAAATTCCTTTATTTGTCAGGGATTTAATTTTATTTTCAGTTGGTATTTTCCTTTCAACCACAACATCCCTGATCCTTCTCTGACATAAGCTAAAGGTTTTCTGTCTACTTATTTTTCAACCTCTTGCTGTTACATGTTACCCTGTATAGCCACTCAGCTGGTATCTTGTGTCTTCCTGGTTGTGTTCGGCATCAAACTGCATTCATAACAATCTACTCTAGCCTATCCTTGCTTTATCCCTGGAGAGTCTGAGAATAATCTCTGTGACAGCTTGCTTTTTGCCACATGATGCCACCAAGATTTAGCTATCAGTATTCTACCTAGTATATGCTCCTTATTTTTCTTTGAGAGTGCTGAAGATGAGTTAGGGACACAACAGGTAGGAAACAGAAACCTATATTTCTCTAACAACTTTAAAAATTCTGTGTGTGTGAAAAAGATAACTAGCTGATTAGAAGATAAATGAGTAGGATCAGATGCACTCCTCTTCAAAAACCTTTATGTGGAGTCTACTCAAAATTAAATGGAAGTCCTTCTTGCATTATGTCTATTTTGAAAGTATTTTTAAAATATGTTAATTTTTATTGTGCTTTGCAACAAGGAACAGTCAAGATAAAAAGAGGCATGATGCCCTTTGGTGTGATCTATGCTGATGATATTCTCACTTTTACCAATGTAATAAAAAAACAAACAAACCCAGAATCTAAATGGTATAAATATTCTAATAATTTGTATTTGAAAATGATAAATGCTATGTTTGTAAGAATTTGATTTTCTCTTGAATATTTTGGTGATAATATTTCTTTCAAAAACTTCTCAGACTTGTGATTTAATTATTTTCAAGATCTTGAAGAGTGTTCTATGATTTTTTTTTTATCTTATGAAGTATAATAAAAGTAATAGTTTTAATAGTTGTTTATATAGTTCATTCTGAAAGTTTTTTTTCAGCATATCTTATTTAGACTTATATATGGGTTAAACGTAGATAATACTGGCTGTGTACTGGTATCAACAGTACATATTTATATTGCTAAAAATCTGTAATTATATAACCTGTCTGAGAGCATTTTTTTTTACTATAATATTATTAATGAATTGAGAAAAGGTTTATTTTATAAGATTTTTACTGCTATGATTGGACTTATATTTAGGCAATGATGACTTTCTCAATTTATGAAACTAAAAAAAAAACTTGGCAGCTTAATTGAGGGAGAGTGTATGCTTTTAGCTTTTGGTTTTTAAGTTCAGAGACATCTTTTTATATGTTAAATAACTATACTACTTAATCCTCACAAGGATATTGTGCCATAATGTGTAAATCTGATTAAAAATCTGAATTTTACCTTTTCTTGTGCAGTGGTCTAGACTGTTTGAAACTAAAATATTTTATCATTATCCTAAAATGAAACTTAGTTCTCGTAGTTCAATGTATGTTTTAAACATGGGCCCTATTGGGGTGAGAGGACATTTTTCTGAAGCTTTTCACTTTATTTATTAGTTGTACTTATTTAAAAGTTACTTTAATCAGTTTTCTACCTTTATTTATAAATAGAAAGAATTTTATTTTTATGGGTTCTCAGTTATTAAGATACAGACACTTTTTTTTTAAGAAGTAATACTTTATTATGTAAACCTTGAATCTGTTTGGGAACTACTGATGTGATTAATTTTTATTTATTATTATCAGAAGTGTGTGTCGAATGTCCAAATGGATAGCAGTGAACTTGATCGAAGGAAGACACTGCAAGTTATAATGCCTGTCAAATCCAATGATAATGATGAATTTGAAAAGCAAAGGACTGCTGCTATTGCAGAGGTTGCAAAGAGCAAAGAAGTAAGAAAACTAAATTATAATAAAATTTTCTTAATTCTTGTCATTCTATTTAAAAAGCAGTTAGCTAAGACTCATTACTGGTTTGAATAAAGAAAACTATTTCAATCTCACTGGTTTAAAGAAGCCTGTCTAAGCAACTAATTCATGAATTAAAATTTCTTATAGAAATCTAAAAATCAATAAGTAGAGAAAACACCTATTTCAAATAAGCAAGAAATTAAAAATAATAAAAAAAAAAACCACATTTGACTATTAGTAGTAAATCTTGGAGCACATGTATAAATACACATATTATCCAAAGGAAAAAACAGTTTTAACTATATATTAAATACATTTAAGGATGAAAACTGACAAAATTGTTAGTCCTGAGTCTCTGATTTTTACCTACATTTCTCAGTTGCTGAGGGGGAAATTATCCAAGTCCAACTAATAACAGGAAACCTTCTACAGAAATATAAAGCATTGGGTTTAGCTGTTATACTGTTAAAAAAGAAGAAAAGGAAGGGAGAAAAAAAGGGTGGTTTGCTAGCAAGAATAACTTAATGGACTTGTCAAGAGAATTTAGAAAAAGAACATATGAGCAAAATGTGTAAGGTACAAAGGCTTTTTTCACTGATACATGGAGAAGGTCAAAAGTTCGTTGGATTTATTACGGTATGTGAAAAGATAATAACAATATAACTATTCTATTGAAATTCAAAGTTAAGGAGGAGACTCCTTGCATTTTGGTTCTTCCTGCAGCATGTCTTTCTATCATCAGTCTAATATAGACACCAATAGCAAAACCTTGGAATCAGGCAGCCTCAAAGCATATTCTGCTGACAACCTTGGATAGCTTGCTTAAATTTTGTAACCTATTTTTGCTTGTCTATAAAAAGAAGGTAATAATAGTACCCAGTTTATGTGGTTATGGCGAGAATTAAAATTGATAATCTTTAAAACATTTAGAACACTACATGGCATAGATCACAATATTCCTTTGCTAAAAATAATCCTGACTTTTGCTATTCTTTAGTGTTTTTTCTATTTTAAAGCACATTAAAAAATCATTTTTAATATTTTTGAAATTAATATATTTTGCACAGTTTACATGAAATTATATTTCTTTTCCCCAAAAAGCTATTAAAATTATGTAATTTCAGAAGAGGATACGGGTGTATATCAATTTCTTAATAACTATAGGAAAGTTGTTCTTTTGATTTATACTTTTCTCAAACAAATTTTTCTCTCAAAATTTTGGTTGATGTGTTTACTGCTATCTATTGGCTAGAATATACTTACTACACTGTAATATGTGCAAACTGTCCCCTCGATCAGGAGTCGCCCAGCAGGCAGCCTGGCCAACCGCCCATGTCCCCTCCCCCTGGCCAAGCTGGCTAGACCTCACCCATGCACAAATTCATGTACCAGGCCTCATGGTAGTGTTGATCTCACAGATGCGTGGTTCACATAATAAGGACAAAATGATGTGGCTAGTAAAGGGCATCAGTTGCCTTATGGGTAATGTTTAAGTTGTATTGTTTCTAGATATTTGCATGTTTAGTGAGTAACAACTGTTTTAAAACACTAAAAAGCAATTCTGAAAATGATATCTATCCTATTCCTTAATCTATAAAATGGAAAGAAAATAGTAAGAAAATGTATCCAGAAGATGGGGCTATTTCACTACCACCAAAAAGGAAAAAAAAATATTTTTGGAGTAACAGAATTTAAATTTCAGAAACATATTTAATTTGGAACAGGTCAGGCTCCAGAATTTTCAGGTAACCAGGTTCTAAAACATTAAACAAAGCAGTAGTATTACCATTTGTTATGAGTGCTTAATATGTGCCAGTTACTGAATCTACCACTCATGTCTTTGGTATCATCTAATCCTCAAAATGACCCGTTTTTAAGCATGAGAAATTTAAGGCTCATGGAAGGAGGAAGTTAAATGACTTTTCTGAGGATAGGAGTTAAGTAGTGGCTGAGACAAGATTTAGTCCCACCATTGTCTAGCCCCAAAGCCTATATTCTTAACTATAGTACAAACATTGTCTTCCGTTCTAATAAACTTTGTAACACATTAATATAAACTCACATTTTTCTTTATGATTATGTAAGTAATGACTATCAGGACATTCTGTTTTATGCAATCCCAGCAAGATCTGTTTTCTTGCTGGGATTGCATAAGCCCAAAATTGAATGAATCCAGTAATACATCGGTAGTTTTTAAAGATGTGATTTTATTTTTATTGGAACTAAATTTAGATATTGTGGTATTTCAATACCTAATAGAGATATTTAACATGTTGTCCATTAATGCTTATCTGACATCATTTTTCTATATTTCAGGTCCTGTTTCTTTATATTTTTATCCGATGCAAAATAATTTTTTAATGTTATATGAATGTATATCTAGCATGTTTATTTTCTTACTGTACTAAGTTTAAAATACATTTTTAAATATTGATCACTATCTCTAATAAAAGTCAAGTCTTGACAACTTCCTTTGAATCTATTAGCTTATAAAGATATTATATAACTAAATGTTTAATTTGATATTATACAAGTAACAATTGTGGGATACTTTTAAATTATGAATTAGTATGTTTCCAAATCAGTGTTCTTTATGTTCTAGTTTTTTAGAATAGTTTTAAAAAAACATAAGTGATATCAAAATTTTCAAATTTGACTACACATATAATTATTTCAAATAAGCCAGGTAAAATAAGAACTGTGGACTTCAAAATTTTCATACACAGATGTTAAGACACAGCCTATGTAATTAATGTAAATAGTAATGAAAGTTTTAAACTGGTGTTAAAATTTATATTATTTGTTTACTTTCTAAGATTATAGAATTATAGAATTGGATCATGAACATAATGTAACTAATTTCTAGACAGGTTTAGTGCCTTATTGAAGATAGCCTTGCCCTCTAACCCAGGCCTCATGATATTAGTCAAATATTTTACCCTAGAATTATTTTTGACATCTAATCTCCATAGTGCTTATTATTTTCTACTATATTATTATCTACTTACTTTGATGACTTGCCTTGGAGAATTAAAGATTATAGTTATGTAATTATTTTATTGCCTTGCCTAAACTTATAGAAAAGAGAAGTTATAGCTATTAGATATTTATTTAAAATCTAGCTAATATTTGATTTTTTAATATAAAACAATGAAAACTACTTCAGTTTTACTAGATATTTTTAGTTGTAGCTTAGTCTTTAGGACTATTTTCAAATGCTATTAACCTACATCTTTGTTATCTTTCTCTTACCTAAAGACCAAGACATTTGGAGGAGGTGGTGGTAGTGCAAGAAGTAATCTCAATATGAGTGCTGCTGGTAACCGAAATAGGGAAATTTTACAGAAAGAAAAGCCAACCAAGTCAGAGGGGAAACATGAAACTGTCTATAGAGAACTGGTAAGGCTAATGAACCAACACAAAATTCATCTGTTCTTCCTTTAATAGCCTTGATGATTTTTTTATTCTTTCTCATAACCACTACTGGTATTGTTCAATGTTTTATAGATATATGTTATAACTCTAGCAGGCTTTCATTAAGATTTACAATTAGCTCATGGAAAACTTGGATTTTTTGAAAAATAACTTACTTTAATTTATAATTTCTGAATAACATATTTTGGAATATATTGATAAAAATGTATCAAAATAAATAGAAGACACTCAATGGAAATAATATCCTAAAAGTTGATGTATCAAAAACATAGTTATCTGCCCTTTTCTACCCTTTCCCACATCTTCATCTTTTCTCAAGTTTTGTCTAAAGAGATTTTGTTTTGCTGTTTGGAAAAAAAAAATTGCAATAAATTCATATATATTGTGGACTCCAGGATGATAAACTCAAAGAGAGACACAGCAAGACACATTATAATCAAGTTGTTGAAAGCTCAAGATAGAGAGGTAGATGGACAGGGTGATAAACAGTACAGTGTATAGATGATGTGTTATAGAATTGAACATCTGAAACTTATATAATTTTGTTAACTGGTGTCACACCAATAAATTCAATGAAAAGAATGTTAAACAACATACAGTTGAAAAGTTACACCTTGCTTTATTTATTGCCTAACAGCATAGCTTTTCTCTCCATTCCTTACAGGTTGATGAGAAGGCTCTGAAGCACATAACAGAAATGGGCTTCAGTAAGGAAGCGTCAAGGCAAGCTCTTATGGATAATGGCAACAACTTAGAAGCAGCACTGAATGTACTTCTTAACAGCAATAAACAAAAACCTGTTTCAGGTCCACCTCTGAGAGGTATAACTCATTAAGCAATGTGCCAGATAGCATTGTTTGCTTTTCAGAGGAATATATGTTGTTGACAGAGCCTGGGTTTTGTTGCTGTGATGGCTGTAACTTTATTTACCACTGTGATAAGTTCTAATTTTGAACTACAGAGACCTGAGAGGTTATGCTGCATTTCATTGCTTTCATTTTTATATAAGGTAGGTCTAACAATACTTTGACAGGATTGATGTAATACAGGAAATATAAAGTGACTAGTTCTGTTAACCTAGTTCTCTGCCACTTGTATAAATAACTAAAGAGTCTGCAAACTTTTTAAATGAACAAGAACATGACTAGTGTTATTATTTAATTGCATAGTTGAATGCATCATGTGATTTTTTTAAAATGCATGTATATTTTATTGATTTTTTACAGAGAGGAAGGGAGAAGGATAGAAAGTTAGAAACATCGATGAGAGAGAAACATCAATCAGCTGCCTCCTGCACACACCTCATGGGAATGTGCCCACAATCAAGGTACATGTCCTTGACTTGAATCGAACCTGGGACTCTTCAGTCCTTAGGCCGATGCTCTATCCACTGAGCCAGACCAGTTAGGGACCATCATGTGATTTTTAATTGCACAGTCAAATGTATTATGTGATTTTTTTCATTCTTAATCCTATATTTGTTTTAAAAATAAGTGTATGAAAATGATTTTTAAAAGATAATTTATATGAAAAAAAACAAATTTCTAGATATATCATTTAGACTTTAGAGGATTAAATGTACTAGTTAATACAGTCACTTAAAAATTTTTCTTATGGATGATGTAGACTGTACAAAAAATATGAAAAGAAATATATACAAAATCCTACTTAAGATATCTGCTAGTTATATTTTAGTGTATTTTCTCCTTTTGTTTTTGCATGTACAAAAATATGCCTTACTTCTTAAGGTAAAGGAAAAGGCAGGGGGCGAATAAGAGCTGAAGATGAAGAAGAACTGGGAAATGCAAGGCCATCAGCACCAAGCACATTATTTGATTTCTTGGAGTCTAAAATGGGGACTTTGAGTATGGAAGGTAGGCTAACTTAACATAGATTGTCTTTTAAAAGATCAAACTTTATTTTTAATTGTACAAAAAAGGTTTATTAGAACAACTAACAATATGAAACTTGGTTCTGGGTATTTATGAATTTATTTGACTACAAATTTTCTTTTTCTTTTCTAATATATTTTTATTGATTTTGTACAGAGAGGAAGGGAGAGAGATAGAGAGTTAGAAACATCGGTGAGAGAGAGTCATCGATCAGCTACCTCTTGCTACCTACCGGGGATATGCCCGCAACCAAGGTACATGCCCTTGACTGGAATCGAACCCGGGACCTTTCAGTCCCCAAGCCAACGCTCTATCCATTGAGCCAAACCGGTTTCAGCTTGACTACAAATTTCCTATTTGATAAAAGTACAGAAGACAATTTTAGTTGTTATGATTGGAAATACTAGATGGCAGTTTATTTTCCCCTCTCACTGTATGATCGGTAATAATGCCACACTTTCCCCCCAACTTTACTAGATGACACATTGTCATGTTGGAGGAGTTATAATTATACAATCTTATACAATTAATTTTGATTGTGAAATTAGTCTCTTTTTTCCACATATTACATATTGTATTATAATAAAATATTCACACAATGAGTGAATAAGCTCACAATGTGATGTATTTCATAATATGACATATTCTAGTGATTAACATAGAGGAGAAATAAGTATATTAATGTGTATCTTTTTCTTATGATGGACTATGGTAAATATTTTCTAAAATAGTAAGTTTGCAAAACTTTAGGATATATACTTTTAAATTCAGTTTTCAGTTTTAGATATATTTTGTGTCAACTAAAGCTCAAAGATAAAATGTTTTATAACAAATTTGAAGTGTTCAGATTTTAGGAAAATGGAAGCTTATTTGTTGCTGGATTACAATAGGAAAGGCAATATATTTAAGCAAACAAATCTTTGATGTGGACAAAACTTAAAAGCAAACATGAGCAATATTTTATTGATTATAACACATGATGTATTAGTTTTCTATTGTTGTTTAACAGATTCTCACAAAACCAGTGACTTAAACAATGCAAATTTATTATCACCTCATTTCTGTGGATCAGGAGTCCAGGCCTTATTTGGGGCCTTTCTGTCACATACTGAAATTAAGTTTTGAGTTGGGCTATGATCCTATCTGAGGCTTCATGTCCTCTTACAAATTCACACGTTGTTAGCAAAACTCAGGTCTCTTGTCTGGAGGGGCCCAGTTGGTGCACTAAAAGGACACATAACTGGTTTGTGGGTTTGATCCCAGTTGGCGAGCATATGGAAGGCAACTGATCAATGTTTCTCTCTCTCCCCTTTTCTCATTCTAAGCATGCTGTAGAATGAGGATTAAAAACAACAAAACAGTTCCTTATAGATGCTGTACTAGAGGCCCTTTTAGTTTTTTTGCTTGATGTTGTCTGGGGAATACTTTCAACTGCTAAAAGCCCCCAGTTCTTTGTTATATGACCCCTCCATACGCAATTCATATTGTTTGTTTGCTTCTGCAAGGCCAGCAGGAGAATCTCAGCTGCTTTTTCAGATTTCTCTACCTCCCTGGTATTTTTGTCCCAGAGCTCCTTTGATTTCCTTTTATCCTTCTTTCTCACTACATTTGTTTTTGACTACTATGATATCTTCTAAATCATAAAGAAGTTGAATTTGAGAAAAGTGATTCTACTGTGTATGACCTGTGGGCCTGTAATGCTTTAGTTTTCACAACACACATCTTAAACCAATAAAATGAAGTAATAATAGCATTTCACTTGAAAAAAGGTATAAAAGTTAATTAAAATGCATGATAAGAACAATGCACTCAAAATGGAATCTCAGTTTTAGGGAGATTTACTTTTGAGGGGACAAATTTATTAACACATTATTAGTAGTAGATATTGTTTTAGTAGAATATGTTGTATTTATGTTACTGTTAATTTTGACACAGAGTCAGCAAGATTATATTGTCCTCCTTGATAGCCATTATTCTCAGAGAAGCAAATTTTTATCCTTTCCTATTCTTTGGCCAGTGGACCAAGATGGGACATGGGCAGAAAGCTTCTAGAGAGGAGCATTTAGACAAGTATGAGGAAGAGTGTTGGGGGAGGACAGCCCAAATAGAGGGGGCTCTGTGGTCCAGGCATGGAGACATCAGAATGCCACTGCTCTGCCTATGAAGTACGGAGAGGTAGAGATAGAAAGCCAGAGACATAGTGGTAGGCTGGAGCCAGATCAAGAAAATTTTGTAAAATTCAAGAGTTTTTATTTTATCCAGATGGCTGTGCAGAACCATAAAAGGGTTTGGGGAATGAGAGCAATGAAGTTTGTTTGATGCTTTCAGAAAAAAATTTCTGTCTGGAAGGTAGGAAATGGGATTGAGACTGAAGTGAGACTACAATTGCATGTGTCATGAGGAATCATTCATTCTATAAATGTAGTAGGACAAAGGGAGCTGTCATTTTTTTCTGATGTGTTAAAACTTTTATCATAAGTAATTGATGATCACATGAACTTTTCTTAGAGATTTTCTCTTCTCCTTAACTTTTTATTTTTTAATTTTATTATTATTATTTTTAATATATATTTTTATTGATTTTTCACAGAGAGAAAGAGAGAGGGATAGAGAGTTAGAAACATTGATGAGAGAAAATCATCAATCGGCTGCCTCTTGCACACCTCCTACTGGGGATGTGCCGGCAACCAAGGTACATGCCCTTGACCAGAATCGAACCCGGGACCTTTCAGTCCACAGGCCGACGCTCTATCCATTGAGCCAAACTGGTTTAGGTTTCTCCTTAACTTTTTAAAAATTGTATCTTTAAATTGGAATCAAACATACCTTAATTGACATTTTAATAATTTTTCTTGGGGAAGGGGCTTGGATTACATTGTTTTATGGAAGTAACCACTAATTAAAGTTCCTTGTCATTTGTAATGACTTCATGTCAATTTGGGACTATTCATTTGATTATGTTGTGATGGAATTGTGTTCCATAAAGCTCTTTAAAAAAAATTATTGTTTAAAGTATTACAAATAGTAGTACATATATATCCTTTTTTTTCCACATTGACATTCCCTCAGTCTCCCCTATCCCGTCACATGCCCTCATCCCACCCGCCTCTCCCCAGTGTCTTGTGTCCATTAGTTATGCTTATATGCATGCATGTACATCCTTTGGTTGATCTCTCTCCCCCCTCCCCAACACTCACCAGCCTTCCCGTTGTAATTTGACAGTCTGTTTGATGCTGATGGGCATCTAGACTGTTTCCAAATCTTAGCTATGGTGAATTGTGCTGCTATGAACATAGGGGTGCATATATCCTTTCTGATTAGTGTTTCTAGTTTCTTTGGACATATTCCTGGAAGTGGGATTACTGGGTCAAATCGGAGTTCCATTTTTACTTTTTTGAGGAAACTCCATAATGTTCTCCACAGTGGCTGCACCAGTCTGCATTCCCACCAGCAGTGCACAAGAGTTCCTTTTTCTCTGCATCCTAGCCAGCGCTTGTCGTTTGCTGATTTGTTGATGATAGCCATTATGACAGGTGTGAGATGGTACCTCATTGTTTTGATTTGCTTCTCTCGGATAATTAGTGACTTTGAGCATGTTTTCATATTTCTCTTGGCCTTATGCTTTCTTTCGAAAAGTATCTATTTTGGTCCATTGCCCACTTTTATTGAATCATTTATCTTTCTTTTGTTATGTTGTATGAGTTCCCCATAAATGTTGAAGAATAAACTTTTATTGGTGATAACATTGGCAAATATGTTCTCCCATGCAGTGGCTTTCTTGTTGTTTTGTTGATAGTTTCTTTTGCTGTGCAAAAGCTTTTTATTTTGATGTAGTCCCATTTGTTTATTTTCTCTTTAGCTTCCATTGCCCTAGGGGCAGTATCAGTGAAGAAGTTCTTTTGGCATATGTCTGAGATTTTGCTGCCTGTGGATGCCTCTAGTATTTTTATGGTTTCCTGTCTTACGTTTAAGTCCTGTATCCATTTTGAGTTTATTTTTGTGTATGGTGTAAGTTGGTGATGTAGTTTTATTTTTTTACATGTATCTGTCCAATTTTCCCAACACCATTTATTGAAGAGACTGTCTTGACTCCATTGTATGTTCATTCCTCCTTTGTCAAATATTAATTGAGCATAGTGATTTGGGTTGATATCCAGATTCTCTATTCTATTTCATTGATCTATATGTCTGTTCTTTTGCCAGTACCATAATGTTTTGAAAAAAGTGGCTTTGTAATACAGCTTGAAATCTGGTATTGAGACCTCTCCTACTTTATTTTTCTTTCTCAGAATTGCTGTGGCTATTCGGGGTCTTTTTATTTCAGATGAATTCTCGGAGAGTTCTTTCTAGGTCTGTGAAATATGCCATTGATATTTTAATGGGGAGTGCATTGATTGCTTTGGGTAATATGGACATTTTAATGACGTTGATTCTACCAATCCACGAACATGGTATATACTCTTCCATCTGTTTACATCTTCCTCTATCTCTTTTTTCAGTGTCGTTTATTTTTCCGCGTATAGGTCTTTTATCTCCTTAGTTAAGTTTATTCCTGGGTATCTTAATTTTTTTGGTGTGATGGTAAATTGGATTGCTTTTTTAGTCTCTCTTTCTGTAAGTTCACTATTGGTGTATAGAAAGGCCATAGATTTCTTGGTGTTAATTTTGTATCCTGCTACATTGCTGAATTCATTTATTAAGTCTATTAGTTTTTTGATGCAGTCTTTTGGGTTTTTTATGTACAATATCATGCCATCTGCAAATAAGGACAGCTTTACTTCTTCTTTTCCAATTTGGATGCCTTTTATTTCTTATTGTCTAATTGCAATGGTTAATACTTCCAATACTCTGTCAAACAGGAGCGGTGAGAGTGGGCATCCCTGTCTTGTTCCTATTCTCAGGGGAAATGGTTTTAGTTTTTGTCCAATGAGTGTGGTGTTGGCTGTGGGTTTATCATATATGGCTTTTGTTATGTTGTAGTA